ATTTATTTATTTATTTATTCAATTATTCAATTAATTATTTATTTATATATCATTCATTCATAAATCTTTTAGAATCTCAAGTTTATTAATTATTTCGAAATATTATAAATTGCATATCATTAAAAATAGTTATTTGCTAAAAATATACAAATTTTTACTAAAAATAACTTTGCTAATAATTACGTATAAATAAAGATTTTGAAATATTTCAAAAAAAATTTTAGCTCGTTTTTATTAAAATTATTTATAAAAATTGAATGAAATTATTTATTATTGTCATTGAAAAAAAAGAAAAAAAAGAAGATATTATCAGATTTATGGCAATGGATAATGATAGTGGTGATAATGGACGTATTTCTTATCATATGCTATCTGGAAATGATTATGGAATGTTCAATTTGAATAGCACAACGGGTGTATTATATTTGATGAAAAAAATTGATGATATTGAGGGAATAAATTTAAATGATACATTTAATAATTTATTAATTGCTGCAATTGATAATGGTATACCGGAACGGATGAATTGGACAACAGTTCAAATCCGTTTTCATTCCGATTTTTCCTCAATTACTGCACCATTCTTTATTGTTACACAATATGAAGTAAGTATATTCGAAAATTTACCAAACGGAAGTATTATTTTACGTTCAAAAGCTATTAATAAATTTGGATTAACCGATAATGATTGGATTTATTCAATAACTGATACCAATAAGGTTAGTGAGTTAAACTTAATTTTTTTAAATTTTTTTTTTTGCATCGATTAACATTTTATTCTTTGAAATTATTTTAAAATTTATTATCATAAAAATATGATCGTTTTCAGTGAAAGTTCATCGATTAATTATGAAATTAACCTATGAACTTATAACTTATAACTATGCTTTATAGTTGATGAATGTTTATAAAAAAGTTCATAGTTCATGGATTTTTCCTTTTATCTTTAGCAATTAAATGGTGACAAATTATAGAGTTTCTTCCAATTGTATTAATATATATTCTTTTTGTTATTTTTTTTTGTTTTAGCTTATTATTTCAATTATATTTTTTAAGTTATTTTATTAATTATTAATAATTATTTCAAGTTATTTCAATTAGTATTTAGTATTTTTTGTTGATTAATTAGTACTTGCTACTTTAAGTTAGTTGAATTAATATTCACTATTTTAAAATTATTTCAGTTTGTATTTACTGTTTTAAATTATTGCAATTAGTATTTACTACCCTAAATTATTTCAATTAATACTTATTACTTTCATTAGTTACAATTAATTATAATTAATAGTCATTACTTTCAGTTATTTTAGTTAGTATTTACTATTTTCACCACATAATTAGTACTTACTGACTTTACGTCGTTTGAATTAATATTCAGTATTATTATTTAAATTAGTATTTGCTATTCACTATACTCAAATTTAATATTCATTACACTTGAATAATTATTCGATATTAGTGTTTAAATTAGTATTTATTTATTTCATTTAGTATTTATTATTTTAAATTATTTCAATTAAAGTCAATTATTTTTAAATATTTTTACACAATCACTTTTGCAGTATTTATTTGCATATTATTCAAAATTTTGATTTTTTTTTTTTGTAATTATTTTAAATATATATTATTATTTCAGTCATTTGTATGCAATAAAAGTACTGGCCATATCATACTTATCAAAGAATTAGATTTCGAATCACAAACAAACTATGAATTTAATTTAAAAGTTCAAGATAATCGGAATCGATCAGCATTAGTACCAGTTCATATTCATATTCATGGTATTGATGAATATCCACCAATTTTCACCAAAACTAATTATGTCTTTCAGGTAAGTTATTTGCATATGTATGATAACATATTACATTCTACCTTCACAAAAATTTAGGATAAATTACTAATTTAACTTAATTTAGATATTTACTAATTTGGTTTATATTAATTAAAAATTGAGCTAAATCCTAAAGATAATTTACCTGAGATAAATATCCAATTACAGTAGTATGTCTTTTTTTTCGTAGATATGAAGTGGAAAAAAAAAGAAAAAACAATTAGTTAAGAAGAGATAACAAAAATTAGACTGAAAAAAAGTTAAATAGAAATTAAAAACTCTCACTTAATAGTAACTTTAAAAGATGCCAAATTTTGAAATGAGCCAAGTTTAAATTAGCCAAGAGTAGATATATAACATTTCAAACATTATATCATATTTACCAAAAAATTTTTATATTAAATATTTAAAAGATGTTTTTCTTTCTTTCTTTCTTTTTTCTGATGAAATATCA